GATGGTTTAAGATGTTGAATTTGTTGTGAGAACCAACAATGAAATAAAAATTATTTTGCACAAGAGATGTTTCCATTAAATAAGATGTTGGCACTAATAATGGAGGAGGATTTCATCTTACAAAGTGATGAAATAAAACCTATGACATCTTCAGGAGAGAGTTGTGGGAATCAATTAGAAACTAAATTCATGGAGATGAAATGTTCAGGCCTTGACTGCCCATGCAATGGGTCAAGCTACAAGATGGAAAGTTCATGATTAGGACAAAAGCAAGGGTACAACAATGAGTAATAAGGGTAGTCAACAATGAGGAGGATTTAGGGCACCCATTCTTTCAATGGCATAAAAAGCACACACGACAAAAAAAAAAAAAGTATGCCTAAAGGGTGCGATGAACATGGGAGCATAGCAGCGTTCGAGCTCAAACACAACAACATGCGAGAGTGCATGAGCATGAGAAAACATGGCAAAATTTAAAGCTAGATGATGCAAATGCCTGCAAGCTGATAGGAAATACTTGAGTTCGCAAGTAACCCTAATGGGAAATACTTGAGTTCGCAAGCAAACCTAACAATAATCGGTAAAACAACGAGAAAAATAGAAGAACTTTGGTGGGAAAAACAAAAACAACAGATAATCTTATAGAAATCAAAACGAAGCAAGAACGAAACAAAGATACAATTTGATCCTCAATTTGAGAGGAGGATCGTTCTCTCCAAATCTCTATACTAGAAGTCTAGAGCCCAAAACACCAAAGAGAACTCCAAGAGAAACAATAATTATGCATGAAAACCTAACCCTAATTCCTTCATCCTACTTAAAGCATACAATTAATTAATTAAGCCAAATTACTCCCTTGACCTTGTCGCCCCCTCCTTTGCCCCCAAATAGTTTAAATTTGAATTCCTAGTGGGGTCCACTCCTCCCTCTCTTTCTTTGGTCTTTCCGCCGCCCCCTCCTTCTGTAGCAAAGAACCGACCCCTTCAAGGGGGCCTTGTGATTGGACAGTCCACTAGGGACCGGTCTAACACAAGCACTAATGCCGAAGAGCACGATAGTGAGTAGAACAAGAGCGAGAGATAGAGAGTGTAACTGGGAGAATGATGAGAGAGCTTGCAATTTAGGACATGAGTGCGATCTGGCGAACTGGGGAAGGTTAAGAGAGCAAACATTTTTTGGAAGAGAGGGGCGGGGTGAGGAACATAACAACTAAGGTTTAGTTAAGCTCTAATATCATGTTGAGGGGATATATTTTGATGTGTCTTATTCACTAAATATAAGTTTTTATGTGTAGGCATACATATGTATATAATATAGAGCAAATAAAGGGGAGAATTGTTGACCTCAACTAGAATCCAAAAAATAATCATCATCAACTAAAAAAAAACCTATGCCCTGTCGGAATCCCGCCAGCTACAATGCCCATTCCCTGCAAACGACGCTGAATTCATGTCTCATCTCTCACGGGAGCTAAACTTAAGTCGTTCGGTTCTTCCTCCACACGAGAGCCCCATCCATGTCTGTCACTTGCTTCGTCCGACTCCTCTAGCCGAAGCAAAGCCACTCAATTCGACGTCTAGTCCCTCATCCTTCCTTCATCTCCTCCCGCATATCTCATCTTTCGAACCCGACTCATGGTTGAACCTCCCTGCGTGCCAAAGCTTCTGATCCCGACCGAGCTCCATCACAAGCTGCACCCACCCAATCATCCACACACAACAATCATCGAACCAGTTTGATACCTACGATCTTACACACCTCACACCGAAGACTTGAACCCAGCTTCCCGTCGGCCTCTTTACCTGACGTCAAAGCTGATTGTGACGTCCAACCTACTCCACCCGATTGGATCCATGCACGATTCATTCAATCCAGATGGAACCCAGCCGCCTGGTCCGCACCTCCAATCCTCTAAGCCACGAGCACCTTACATCTCTGCTCTAGTGAACCTCACCCTCAATCCATCTTCCTCCCTACACGACTTGTCTCCCACCTACCTCTTGTACGAGACCAGGCTGAACCCAAGCTTCGACCTCTCTATATGATCCCTAGGCCACACAAGCCCAGCCCGATCCTTCAAACTAATTAGCCAAATCTCCTCACTAAGTCATTTCTGTCCCAACTTATTTGACCTCCACCTGCACTGTCCAATCCACAACAACCTTTTTCTTCACCTAGTCATTCAAAGACCCATGCAGCTCCTCTCTTTGTGAAAAGAGAAAAAAAAGTAGGGGAAGGAAAGCAAGAAAAGAAAAAGAAGGAAGTTTTTTGTGCTTGTCGCCGCCGCCATCATCCTCGGCATCGTCGCCGTCACTCTTCTTGCTAAGTATTAAAAGTATTCGACTCTCGCGGCGCACCGGGGGACCACTCATAAACGCTCTTCATAGCGTGGATGGAGGGATCCCGGTGTAGCGCTTATGTATCTTGCATGCATAGAAAATTTATGTTTTCAAATAGGTTTCTTGAAGACTCATACACGCTCTTCGTAGTGTTTTGGGATTGAAGAATACTACGGTCGCATTGTCGCCCAACACCTACTATACACACTTTTCATAGTGTAGTGGGAAGGCTCAGCTCCCCAAATTTCTTCTTAACGGGTGAGATGTCGGGAGGCTGCTGGATTTTTCAGTGAACAACGAACCTGATTTGAACAAAAGCACGTGGTAATTGAACAAAAGGAGGCTTGACTTGAACAAAATTAAAAGAGTACCGAACTTAATCAAAATTCACAGGGAACTGAACCTATTGCCAACATAAAAATCTAAATCATAAGGTAATAAAAAGCAAGTGCAAACATGCAAGCTGGGGACTTATAGAGGATAAGTCTTTGATAGGAAGTACTTGAGTTCGCAACTAACTGTAAGGGTAATACTTGAGTTCGCAAGCAAACCTAGCAAGACTTCGCAAAAACAGCGAGAAATAGGGCTAATTTCAAGGAGAAATCAGAAAGAACAATGCAGGAAATTTAGTAGATGTGAGAAGAAGCACAACAAAAACACTTTGATTCAATCAACGAATAAGAAAAACAAAGCAAGATACAAATCTTCAATTCGAGAGGAAGAAATAATCTCCAAATCTCTAGCAAAGCCTAGAGCCCAAACAAAACAAATCCTATATCTCAAAATTCAGCAAATCTCAAGATAACCAAACCCTAGTCTCCCTAAGACTAATTAAAGCCAAAGGAAGCTTACAAAATCCCTAAACATCCCCTAATTCAAATTTTATCTCCTAAACACTCATTAATTAAGTCATGGACCCCACTAGGGCCCCCCCCCCCCGCGCCCTCTTCTTTTTTCGCCCAAAACTTTGGGTTGCCTACAATAAACGTGAACCGGTCCCTCCTGGGACGGCAGCGTAACAGTCTTCAGTGCTCATGAATGATGAGCAATAAATCTAATTAACTTGAAGCATTTGAAATATCGCAAGCACACATCAATGAACAACTACAAGCAGTGATCTCTCACAAATAAAATTCCTACATCTTACCCACAAGTGACGATCATTATGAACATGCAATTTGATTGCAAGGGATGTTCATGAGTATAACATGAAGAATGCATAATGGATGTAGTGACATCCATATCGTCAAAGAAAATTCAATTTAAAGCAAACATAGCAATTCCCTACAAGCAGAAAGGGTTAATGTGCAATGAAAATGATGATTTGATGCCTATGTTTAGATAAAAAAATTATGATGCATGCAATGCATCGTATACAATCCAAGACAACAAATTGTGATGAGTGCAGATACCTATAAGCAACGATAAAAGATCAGAAGCACAAACAATAGCATTGTCAACAACAAATGCTAGAAGAAGTTGTACGAAGCTCAATTTGTCGGCAATCAACAACAAGATATAAATGCAGACGTTGATCTTCATGCAAGCAATAATAGAGGTTATGTTGCAATCATGATGGATCCTCTATGAACAAGGACATGCGACACGTCATCTACAAGCAATCATAAAAGAGCGTAGCGAAAGAAACTACCCACTAGTAATGATAGAAGATTCATCGTATGCACAATAATATACTTGCGGATGATAATTAGCAACATATAGTGAATGCTAAATTTAAATGAGAATTTGACTCTTAGCATGACACAATGGTAAAAAAAGATTCGTATAGCTGACCCCACGTAGTGGAATAAAAACTTAATGTTGTTGTTGTTGTTGTTGTCGAGTCAATTGGGCTTGGAGTTTGTTGTTTTTGTGCTCCAACCTATTCCCAGACTCTTATTTCTTTGCTTCCTAGTTCATGTTGATATGAAATTGAGATAGTTACCTTTTAGAAAATTCTAATGATATCTAGGTATATCTATGCTTCATTCTTTTGAAGGTGGGAGAAAAGATAAAACTAATTATTGATCCAAATTAGATGTGAAATTTTATGCCACAAACATCTTTTGGTTAACCATAGAGAAATTATAATAGATTGATGAGAAATTGAATTCAGTTAATTAGCATGGAATAGATTAAGAGAAGATGGGATACAACAAGAATTGATTTGATTTGGACTTTTCACCCATCTACACCAAGTAAAAGAAACTTTGCACTTGAAGTTATGCCATTCAGTGAATTCTTTTCTATTATATAGTTATGATTTGAAGTTTAGTTTTTTCATAGAATTTCTGTTGATCGCCTCTCATGCATTTTCTTCTCATTTCTTTTTTTCTTTGAAAGCAAAAAAAAAAGATATTGATGTCGTTAGAATGAAGCTATCTTCTGAGAATTAATTTGATTTGGATGCGGGACAACATTGATTTGATTTGAGTTTGGAACCAACCAGAGTAGGATTTGGAGTTGACACTGATTCAACTCAGTTGACAACCCAACTCATTCAAGGGTTTATTTCCATGCTCCTCCTTGCGGGCAAGAAAAAGAAAAGGGTGCCAAGCCTGCTGCAAACAAAATATATGATCTTTATATTTTTGTTTGCTTTTTTCTTTTATTTTTTGTACATGATAATTTATTAATGTAGTTTACTTTTCTGCAAGTCAGAGTCCGAGTTTATAACTATCGCAAGGGGAGTCCTCTTGCCGTGTTGAAATATCACAGTGCTTCGGTACGCTCTATTGTTTTTGTTTTTCAAAGTTTCTTTTACTTTATTAACAAAGAGCAGTTTTTTCTCTTTTTTTTTTAAATTTGAAATTTTATTGAAGAAATTGAATCATAGTACGGTTATGTTTTGTTGATTAAAGAACATAGTAGTAATTATTTTTTGTTTCATACGTTCAAAATGTATATTTATACCTTCATGTTGATTAATACCAAATTACATTTGATGATGTGGTCTTGTTTTTTCATTGTAGTGTAATGCAGTTGCATTCTCGCCTGACTCCAAGCTTATGGTCTCTTGTTCTGAAGACACATCAGCAGCACTCTGGGAGTTGTATCCACCGCAAGCTTAACATATATTTCCATCTAACCATTGTGCGAGTAACTTAAGGTAATTTTTGCTTGCTCTCTTACCTAGTTAACCTCCTGAAACTAGTTAATCTTTGCTCTCTCTCTCTCTCTCTCTAATCTCCCGGAACTTTCTCGCACGTAACGGCTTTACGATCATGTATATAGTCCATCGCGCAACTATAAATCATACAATTGTCTTAATGTTTTGATTATGCTTGTTTGCTTCGACCCATTCATGTTTGCATTCTGATCCTAAATTTTTTACTAAAAAGCTGCTTTGAAGAAGTAGTAAAAAAATCGTCTCAAACGAAACCTTAATTAGGAAAATTTTATTAGAAGATTTCTCTTCAGGATAATTCTCATTCTAAACTCAATCTAGAAATATCTACTTTCAGTTTCTGAATTATAAATTGATGTTGATCGAATCAATGGGGTGAGCATAAATGGAACTAATCTGCATACCTTTAAACCCAGTAATGGAATTGGTGCATATATGTATTCAGTCATCTGTCCCTTTTTTTTTTTTCAAATCTCCTTGATGTTGAAGAAGTTAATATCAGCCATTCAAAATAAGCGAATTGGCTGACTGAGATTATTAATAACTGCGCATCGTGCAATTAACTTGATAATAGGAGAGGATTTTATTGGAACTAGCATCTTCTATGCCTCTTTTAGTACTTAACTGGAACTCTGACTTGTATGGGTTGGGCTATGCTTGGACTGATATTGCATCCTCTGGCTTGGGTGAGCTTGGGGCCTTGCTTAGGAATAAGTGAGGTTTCAGTTTGATGTGGTCATAATGAGAGTATGGTGAGAAAGATTTCAAGATAAATTTATTAATGTTTTTTGTTTGATCATAAATTATCAAAATGTAGCTCGATCATTTTAATTTTATCAAAGAGTTCAAAAAAGTCAACAAAATATTTTGGAACTATTATAAGTGCTTATAGTTTGTAACTTTAGTTATGGTTGAAAAGCTCTACTTGAATCTCCTTATATATTATTTGTGCTTTGATTGAGATATGATAGTTGTCACGTGTTTCTTTAATCAAAGGTAAAAGTCTCTTCTCTCTCTCTCTCTCTCTCTCTCTCTCTCTCTCTCTCTCTCTCTCTCTCTCTTGAACTTTTATTAGGTCACGACACCTGACGTAGCTCTATATTCGGACGCTAATAAAATGTCGCCACGTGCTCTTACTTTTTACCGCGCGGCCCGACGACCCGACTCTGACCGGAAACCGATATTGTTATGTTCGTGTATTGTTATGTATTGCTCCGTATTGCTAGGTATTGCTTGACAATAATGAGAAATATCACTCTTCCAATACCAATACCGAGCAATACCTAGCAAAATTAGGGTATTACTCGATATTGCTAGGCATTGATCTTGACATTGTGGTATTTCTCGTTACCTAGCATTACCCTGGTATGCACAAATCAGCTAATACATAGCAATATCATGTTCCGGTCCGGGCCGGGTGATCGGGCCGCGCGGTAAAGAGTAAGAACACGTGGCGACATTTTATTGGCGTCCGGATGTAGATCTACATCAGGTGTCCTGACCGAATAAAAGTTCTCTCTCTCTCTCCCTTGATTGTTGTTGCTATTTTTAGATTGTGATGGGAGAGGAGATCGAGTGACTAGTGAGATGGGTGTCAAATATAAAATGAATGATATAAATCATGTCAATTGTTGGTAGATGAATTCCATTAGACAATGTTAATGGTGGATGATGGCGATGACGGTTGTTGATGTTAATAAAGAGTTCGTGTTGAGCGGTGATAATAGTAAGGCCTTGATATTAGTGGATGTTTGGTGTCAAGTGAAGAACAGTGGAGGGCATTAGTGTTGGTTGTCGACTATCATCAATTAAATGATCAATGTCCGGTATGATCATGATATACCTATATGCTATTCAATGGTTGATGCGGGTGTTGATGCTATTTATTGACCAATAATATGTGATAGATGATGTCGGGTGTTAATATTGGTTGAGGTGCATGTCATAAACAATGTTGTCGTTCAATATTTGGTAACGATAAATAAGTGAGTCGAGCCGGCATATGAGCCTGCTCAAGCTTGACTTGCTGATGAGCTCACAAGTCAGCTTATCCATTAAGTGACATGTGGTAGCAAGTGTCGATGTCGATTAATGATAGGCATGTCTGTGACAAATGATAGGCATCAATATTGAAGGATCATAATGTTTTTGATAAAATATTTTAAATTAGTAAACTGCACTTATGGAAACTTTCATAAAAGTCCAACCATCAACGAACGAGGTAGTCGGTCATAAAACAAGAATGATGAAAATATTTCTTTGAGAGCGAAAATCCAATTAGTGATAACAAAACAATTCCATAATTACTCCTTCGCAAATTATAAATTTAAATATATGGCGTTTATTGGATTCGTAATTATATGATGTACGTTTATAAAATTTTAAACTTTGCCATCAATATATATTTTTAAATAAAATAAAAGTATAGTTAATCTTTTTTATTTATTTTTATTTACTTCTTTATAATTCTGAATTTTATAGAAGATTAAATTATGTTGTAATTATATAATTTAAATTTTATTATGATAAATTAATTATTTTAAAATAAATATAACATAAATTGAAAGAACTTATTCTATTATGACTATAATAAAAGTTTGACTGTGAAGTAAAATTGGTAATCAATGGGCAAGTGGCATTAAAAAATTAAATTATACTGATAATGAGGTAATTAATTAGCTCTAAAAATATGAAGATTATGTATTATAAATTAATTATATTTTTTATCATCTTATATTTATTATGTTATGTTTTTAAAATAATAAATTCAAACAAAAGAAATTTAAAACTGATATTTTAGAAGTTATAATTTGTGCATTTGCTGAAAAAAATAAAATATTGGCTCCGTCAGTGCTTGTCGGTTTTTTTTTTTTGGACATTTAGGTCAATTAAGATGAACTCACACATACACAGAGACTCGAATTTAAGACGTCTTGATTGGAAACCTAAGCTCTCAATCAATAGGCCAAGGTGAGTTGTGTATGAAAAAAAATATAATGAACTTGCAATTCGTTATAATAGAGAATGCTCTAAGTTTTCAAAATTTTGACATTTGAAATAGAGCTTTTGAATCAAATCAAGAAGTTCATCTTTAAACTTTTACTTTTTAACTTACATGTCTAATAAAAGTCAAATTTTCTCAACTAATTTATTCTACATGGAATTGATCTCATTAAGATTAAGGTTTTGTTTGGAATGGCTTTCTTACTGCTTATTAAAATAATTCTTTAACATAAAAAATAATTTTTTTTCTACTAGAAAATTACTTTAAGAAGCAGAAATAAAATTGTTCCAAACAAAAATCAAATGAATTCCTTTCCACCCAAATGTAATATGTGGTGATGTGAATAGCAAAACAAAACAGATGTGTATTTGTCTGTTACTGGTTTGTTAAATACGTACGTTACCGTTGACATTCAAAAGTATGGGGAAATTACTAAGCATCATCCTTAATGAATTGATTAAGTGGCATCTTTATTGTAATCAAATCAAGTAAGAATGAATCAGCAACATAAAGGAAGATTAGGGAGTTTAACGCAGCTTGGCATTTCTTTTACATTTTCCTTTATGGGGACAAAATCAAGAGGCAATTTTTTGAAGATGAATGGTCTACCATTTAAAAAACAATCTGCCATATTATTTATCAAATCAAAATCTTCAACAAGTAAATTTAAAGAGGAAAAGCCATATCATATAGGGAATAAAAATCAAATGTACTTTTGAACTTCCATACCATATTAAGAGCATCTCCAACCGAAAATTTCATTTTTCACTCCAAAATGCGATGAAGCTTAAAAAAGCCATGATTCATCTCCAATCAAACTTCATTTTGCATGCTTCTGCCAAGGTAAATGTTTGTCTCCTCTTCCCCGCGTTTATTTAGCAAAACTGATTGACACAGAAAAATTGCGTATGTAAACAGTACAACGTCAATATTGGCGTCCCACTGTTCACCCACAACCAAATAACAAAAATTTTGACATTTCATTAAAGCTCGCGAGTGACGCCATTCATGCATTTGAAGTTCGGCTAAAGAAGGCCTAATGGCATCTCCAACTGAACTCTAAATCATTGTATGGCGTAGCTAGTTTGCTTTATTAGAACGATAACAAAATCGCTAATTGATGGAAGGTGAACAATGTGACGCTAATATTGGCGTTGCACTATTAACCAACACGATTTTTCTTTCCCAACTAGATTTGCTGAAGAAACACGCGAAAGACTCGATTACCTTCGCAAAAGCCGCAATTGTAATTCGATTGAAGATGAATCACGATATTTTTAAATTTCACTATATTTTGAAGTGAAAATGGAATTTGTTGGTTAGAGATGCTTTTAAGTGCTTGCAATAAATTACCATAAAAAAGTTTTTTCCCGCATATTTGACAAGAACCAAATTTCAAGTTTTTTAACCCTCGTAAATTTCATCATTATGAAAGACAAAATTTTCATCATGACATAAATTGAAGATAGTAGATAGAATTAGATACCAAGTAACAAGGAAACCTTTTTAATTCATGGTAGGGGGCAATCCAGCTCCTAGAATGTAGGAGGAAGAAGAGGAGAGTTCAAAAGAGACCTTTTTTGGTGGAGGAAACCAAAACAGAAAGAAAAACTGATAAAATAGGCGAAGGGATCTCAACCACAAGAAACCCTAACAAAATAAAACCCTACCATCCCATTGGGCTGAGTCATAATCACTTTTTATCTTTTCTTTTTTCAATCTCTTCACGCTAAGACCCGATCTCCTTTGATGGAAATGCATTTTCTGAAAATTCAATTGTTTGCGTAAACCGAATTTGACATGAAAATGCATTTCCATCAAAGGAGATTGGGTCTTATACAGTATAATTCCGGTATATTAAATTCCGATACTCAATCTACTTTAAAACGAATTCAATATACCAGAATTATACTGCAAATTATCCTTCAAAAAGCAAATTCACTATCAACTCCCCCTAAAAACGACAATAAACCAAGACTCGTGAAATAAATTGGCTATCCTGACGAGCAACATATCACAATCAGATTTCAATATTATTACGATCACAAGCAAGGACGACAATATACCGGAATGACTGCATCATCATCGTTACTTAAAAAGTACGCCAGCCAATACGACGAAGGAACATAGTTTTTTACGTGAAACGAGGGACATAGTTAAGCATTCCAACTAACACCAAAAGTATTGACGGATCATTGCATGAATTCACGACAATGAAGAATAAAAAATGGAAAAGAGAAATCTAGCAACCTGGAAAAGAGAAAAATTAGCAGATATAGCAATAATGCCTACGCACGCTCGCCTCTGATACGACGAGCAAGCTGAATGTCCTTGGGCATGATGGTGACGCGCCTCGCGTGGATGGCGCAGAGATTCGTATCCTCAAAAAGGCCGACGAGATACGCCTCCGCGGCTTCCTGAAGAGCGAGCACGGCATGGCTCTGAAATCGCAGATCCGTCTTGTAATCCTGTGCAAGCTCACGCACCAGCCTCTGAAACGGCAGCTTGCGGATCAACAGTTCCGTGGTCTTCTGGTATTTGCGAATCTCACTACAAATCCATTCGAATCACGATCAGAACTCGTTCAAGAACGCTTTCTAACATAAATAAAAGATAAGCATTATATTTACCGGAGAGCGACGGTTCCAGGACGGTAACGATGAGGCTTCTTAACTCCTCCAGTAGTCGGCGCCGATTTCCTCGCAGCCTAAACATGATCGATTAAAAAAAAAACTTGAAAAACCAAATACGATCAACAAAGATTGAGAAGCCATCAAAATAGGATCATAAAGAAGCCCACCTTGGTCGCAAGCTGCTTCCGAGGAGCCTTTCCTCCTGTTGATTTCCGGGCAGTCTGCTTCGTACGCGCCATCGACGATGAAAAGAATCGGTTAGGGTTTCTCTATACGCGGAAGCGAAAGAAGGAACGAAATTCTGGTTGCGAATGGTGGTAGAAATTATGAGCGCTATTTATAGACGTAGAGAAGCGATGTGTTATGGGGTTGGGCCGGGTCGGTTCGCTTACGACGTTTCAATTTTGAAGTTCTGATCGAACGGAATGGGATTTATTTGAGAAATTAGCGATCCGTGTGCTCTGTTCCTATTGGTTCAAATGCCATTGACATGGATTAAGAAACTTAATTTTCTCTCCATTCCTTCTCTAATAATATGCGGAAGAGCCGTATGGCCTTTAGTTCAAAAAACAGAATCCTACTGACCCGCCCAAAGGCTAACTAATCTGAGGATCAACGAAGTGCATCTGGAAGCAGAGGTTAGCCTTTTTTAATTGTAAACATAAATTTATTTAGCTTTTTTTTTTGCTTTTTATATATATATATATATATATATATAAAACTAAAAATTTATTTTTATAATAGCTTTATAAAATTAATTTTTCTATACAATTTTGTAAAATAATAATAAAGTTGTCTCAAACCAAGCCTTATTATATGGATGAGAGTTGAATGAACAGCTTAATTGGATGATATAATTGATACAACACCAAATTTAGTCTTTATGAAACAGAAATAGTGGTATATTCAAGTTGATAACGTCAAAAATTAAAAGCTCGACCATCCAAACTCCAATTTTAGTATATTTATACTTCAATTGAATGTCTCGAAAAGATGAATCTAATAACACCAAAATCAAACCAATCCAAGTCCAACCAACTAGCTGCACCCACAATCGCAAATGTAAATCTCTCTTTTAAAAGTAAAAATAGTCCTTAATTTTGTTAGATATGTCCTTAACCAACCTATGTTCTTCTAAATTTAGCGCTTCATGAGCACCTCCAATTGTGCAAAAGAGGTTGTTCAACTCATGGCGAGATTTGACCTATATTATAAGTAGTTGTAAATGCTCTTTTGAAAGAGATTTGACCTATATTAAAGGAAAAAAAAAATTCATTTCATAATCAATCTTATATAGTAATATGTTTAATTGAAATTATACGCTTAATTGATTATGCAACAATGAGACATTTGATTAATTAAATGCATAATTTCAATCAAGAAAAATTTTTTAAGTGGATGCAGGACTGTTAAAGTCACAATTCAAATACAAATCAAATTCGCATGGGAGAAGACATTAAAATCAACCAAAACGCACAAAACTAAACAATTTAACGAAGCTACGAACGCTAGTTAGATATCAATTCAAGTTGCAGAACTGACTTACAAGGACGAAAAAACTAGAGAATTTACACAAATTACTAAAGGAACATAATTCAAGCAGCGGCCTTTTTAGGCCTCTTCGCGGCCGGGGACTTGAGCTTTTTTGGCTGCTTGGGTTTCACAGGTGCAGCCTTCTTCACCGACTTCGCTTCTGGAGCCTTCTTCGCAGACTTTGCTGTTGCAATAGGCTTCTTTATATTCTTTCTTTTAACTGGAGCAGAGAGAGTTGCAGACTTTGCCTTGATCCCCTTCACCGCTGTCTTCGGCTTCTGAAGGTTAGTAGCAACCTTAGTTTTCACATCCTTCGCCGCTTTGATTTCACCCTTTTTTCCAGACGCAGATAACTTGAAGGAAGCCTTTACTTTTACAAGCTTTCCCCTGGCGGCAAAGTTCCTCAGCTGAATAGCGAGAACCTTCCGGAAGATAGAAGGAAGCTCTCCCTTGTGCTTCTCCTCCATGTACTTAGCTATGGCATAAGGACTGGATCCCGTCCTCTCATGAAGAGCCAAGATAGCTTCTTTTATCATCTATTGACCGATAGATCAACCAAACCAGTCAAAAAATCAATTAACAAGAATAATCAAACCAAAAGGTATTCAAGAAGTTATAACAGCATGCGAGAAAAATACCTGGAAATAAGGGGGGTGAGAAGACGAGGACACCTTAGAGCCCTTCGTCTTCTTCTCTTTTGAAGCCACTGTTTTCTTCACCTTCTTATCTTTCGACGCTTTGGTCTTCTCCGTCGCAAGCTTTCCATCCACGGAAGACATGGCTCTGAGTTGCGAAGGAATGGTAACTGAAAATGATCACCAAACTGTTTCGAAAGAAAACAAATCTGAAGAATTTAAGGTGCAATTTATATGCAGAGAATAACCAGGCAGAATTGGAAGAAAATAACATGCTGAGCTCTGATTGGTGGGAAACGAAAGCCACGGATCGTTATCAGACCACGGATAGATCCTGAGCGTCGGCTTCGACGGTGGATCTCCGCGGATATTTTGCTTTTCATGAAGACATAAAAATGCTTCACCGTGTGCTTTTATGTCAAAATAAGTTGACGGGTCCGATTCAAATCCTATAAAAAATTGACTCAAATTAAATTCAATCAGTTTGAATCAAATACATCTTCGCTAAATAGTTCGTAAAGATCAACCAGAAATCCAACCTGTTAGCAATCTAAATCCAATTAATTAACAACTCAAATGACCTGAAGTCAATCTGTTAACCCATTTTGGCTAACGAAATTGATAACATTAACTATAAAATTTAGTATATTTGATTCATAATAAGGAGAATATATCTACAAGTAAGAAAATAAAGAAAAAAGATATTAAATTAGTCATTTTCGGATTAAAAATAGGTTCTTGAGTCAATCCAAATCATATGCATTTATTAAACAAGTTAGAAAATGCAAATTGAACCCATCTGTTTATTAAATAGGTCAACCTGAACTCCAAATTTTCAGATCGAATTAATGGGTTTGATCATTTATTGACAACCCTAAATTTGAAATATTTAAAGATGGTTTTGTTTGGATTTCAGATTCTTCATTTCAGTTAAGACACACAAGTATAGAAAGAAGTCTTGCAAAATTTTGCAACAAAATATATGACAATGGCATTGATTAGAAGCTGAGATTAAATTGAATAGCAAGTTGATAATTTTAATTCATCTTAAATAAGAATTCAAAATTTGTCTCTTATATTATTGTTACATCCTAAAATATTCGTTGAGCTAAAGAGATAAAACTTAATGTCTTAGCTTTGAATGAAAATCCAACATACAAATAGATAAGTAGGGGTGTCAATATAGGAAACGACACAAAAATCCGACCCGAAAATTTAGAAAATATTGACCCGAACCCGAACCCGAACCGGGTCAGGTTCGAGTTAAGGTTTTTGACCCGTTTGTAAAATCAGTTCGGGTTCGGGCTGACCCAAAAACCCGGTAATGACCCGGAATGACCCGCTGCATGCCCAGACCGGGCCTGACCGAAGCTACCTGCGTCGCACTGCGAGTCACACGTCGCTTCGTGTGTCGCGTGTCGCGACTGCCCGCCACGCAGGTGCCCACTTGCCTGCTGCGGAACTGCACGCCTGCTTGTCGTGCCGCTGTCCGCTTGCAGTGGATAACGGGTCATGTCGGGTTCACCCGAACCTAAAGCTGGTCGAGTTCCAGTCCAAAAAATCGACCCATTTCCAAAAACGGGTTGGGTTCGGGTTGACTCGAATGATGCCATATCAGTTTTCGTTTCGATTTGAACCCGACCCTTTACCCAAAACTGACACCCCTATATATAAGCAAGACGAGGATGCGAGATTCATAAGATAATATATTTTTTTTTGTGGAAAATCTTGAAAAAGAGAAAAAACTATCGGGCCTAGCCCAATTGAAATGAATCTCATTGATTACAACATCATATAGAGCATATTACATAGCTCAGATTGGAAGAATCCTAGCTCATATTGAAAGAATCCAATGATATGACAGATATTCTTAAGAAAAGGTTGTTGTTTTTTTCATTTGGTTGGTAGGATGTTAATCGGGCGACGGAGGTCAAAGGAACCGCTGTAGGGCAACGATGGTCGGAGGAATTATAGTCAAGGGGTGACGATGGAATGAGGGACTAATTTCGACATTTATATTCGATATTGAAAGAAAAAGCCAAATTACAATGTAATCCCTGTAAGAATTATGCGCAAATCAGAATAATTACTCTCTTTTAAGTTTTAACTTGCTGGAGCAGATCCAACTTTACTGGCGTTGCAGCTGAACTACGGAACCGTTCATGTCCGCAAGGCAATGATGGCGACAGAAGCTCCACCAAATCTTTCCCATCTATTCCCTTCCAAATGTGCCGGCTGCATGTCATCTCCACTACCTCCAGAATCGTCATCCTCGCCCGCTCCGGCCTGCTTTCTGCTGCGCAGCAACTGTTCGATCAGATGCCCGACAAAGACACCGTCGCTTGGAACGCCATGCTTGCCGCCTATTCTCGAGCTGGGCTCCCCTCTCAAGCCCTCTCCCTTTTCTACACAATGCGAGCCTCCTACACGCCGACGGATCCCTTCTCCTTCACTTCAGCCCTTGCAGCCGCCGCCGACCTTCGTCATATCCGCGCCGGCGAAAAGCTGCACTCTCTCGCTCTACGTTCTGGGTTCTGCATTTCCTTGCCCGTCTCCAATAGTCTCATCAACATGTATGGCAGATGCTTCCGCCCTTTGAACGCCAATAAAGTCTTTGAAGAAATAGATGAGGGAAATGAGGTGTCTTGGTGCTCTCTTCTCCATGGCTTAGTGATGTCTGGCCTTTTGGAAGAAGCAAGCAAGGTGTTCGAAGATATGCCAATCAGAAATTTGATCGCTTGGAATATAATGATCATGGGCTTTGCTTCCTCAGATTGCCCAGAAATTTCTATATGTTTGTTCAGAAAGATGGTGATGTTGGGTTTTAAAGGGGATGTCTTAACTTTTACCAGTCTTATAAATTCCTGTGCAGAGCTATCAGAACCTTTCTTTGGCCAAATGATCCATTCAATGATAATTCAAAACGGATGGGCCAGCACAGTAGAGGTCAGCAACTCTCTTCTTAGCTACTACACCAAGTTTAGCTGCCATATTGATGCCTCAAGAATTTTCAAGTCCATGGAAACTCGTAGCCTGGTCTCGTGGAACACGATGATAGATGCACACATGAAACTTGGCAACATAGAAGAAGCTCTGAAATTATTTCAGGCCGCGCCAGAAACCAACATTGTATCATGGACATCCATTGTTGCAGGATTTGCAAGAAATGGCTATGGAGAGGAGGCTCTTTATTACTTTGTGAACATGCAGAGAAACTTGCATTTACCTGATCAATTCACATTAGGCGCAGTCCTTCATGCTTGTGCCACATTGACAGTCCTAGGAAATGGATTAATGGTTCATGGATGCTCCATTTGCCATGGCTTCGAGCCATTTGTCTATGTTTCCAATGGTTTAGTGAACATGTATGCTAAGTGTGGTGACATCAAAAGTTCCAGTAAAGTGTTTGATGAAATGAAAGCAAAGGATTTGGTATCATGTAATGCAATGATATTTGGATTTGCAGTTCATGGTTGGGCTCAAAAAGCTTTGAATTTACTTGAATACATGATAGCTTCTTCGGTCCTTCCTGATAAACTCACTTTTCTTGGTTTGTTGATGGCTTGTTGCCACTCGGGGCTTGTCGAACAAGGCATGAATGTCCTATCATGTATGGAATCAGTTCATGGAGTTTCACCAGATGCTGACCATTTGACTTGTGTTGTTGACGTGCTTTCGAGGGCTGGATGCTTAAAACAGGCAACTATTTTACTTGATCTTATTGAAGAAAAACATGTTGGTTACTGTGAGGCTTTGCTGAGTGGAAGCTCTGTCCATGGAGATGTGAGGCTTGGGAAGAAGGTAGGAGAGAAGCTAATAGGAATGGAGCCTGAGAAGGATGTTGGGTATGTGATGCTGTCGAATTTATATTGTTTTAATGGGCGGTGGAAGGATGCCGAGAAAATGAGGAAGGCAATGGGAGAGCAAGGGGTGAAGAAGGCTCCTGGATGTAGCTGGATAGAAGTGAGGGACGTTTTGATGGTCTTTGTAAGTGGGGTTGCTTCTTTATCTCACATGGTGGATTTGCATAACATGTTAACAGTGCTGGAATCGGAAATGAGAAATCCGAGCTTCGTTAGCTTTGGATTGAGATCTTGATACTTGTTTTTGGCTCAGGGATTGCTTACACTCTCAAGTTACTTTTAGGCTAATTTTTTATTGCAGAAGGATGATAAGAGATTCTAAGATCTTGCAGAAGGGTACTTCTGAAGGTTTTATAATTTGAACTTTTGAAGGATATTAAAACACAAATTGACCACTAATAACTCATACAACCATCTCTCTGTGCATTTTTACTCCCAATCTCTCATACAACCATCTCCCTGTGCACAAATTGACCACTAATAACTCATGTTATCTTTCTCTATATGCATTCTGATACATCATAAAGGATCACAAGAACAATCAAATTCTCCTCCATAGTTCTAGTCCTAATGACCCATATCCGGGACACCTCTCTCCTCAATCCTCATTGTATTCAAACTTCATTGTTTTGTCCTCTGTCATCTCCAAACATGAAGTTTGGCATTGCTCGCTCGAATAAGAATTATGTAGATTGAGGTTGTTTTGGGTTACAGGCTGGAGTTTCTTTTTGCATATGATACAACTATTTTGTCTATAAATTTGTTGAACTCAAAGTCTATTTTATCTTTATTGCATGCTAGAATTTTTGTGGAGGTAGTGAGAGAATATAACGTCGTAGCATTGTACAAAGATCAAATACATAGATAGATTAAAAAGTTTGTACAAGATACCGGTGTTTTTTAATATATGATAAGATTGTATATGACATGATCTTGTATATTTGTGAGAACATGTTATTGTCAATAATCATATGGTAGTGTTTTTTAAATATATGATAAGATTGTATATGACTTACATGATATACAAGATATTGTTCATATCAATAGTTACAGGTTCTTATAGATATATGATTATTGTTTTTGTTTAATTCATTAATTTTAGTTGTAGATACTCGTTACTTGTTGGGCTATGTGCTCATTAAGTGATTTTTACATGTTTTCAAACAATGATAAGAATTATGTAGATTAAGGTTGTTTTGAGATGCAGGCTGAGTTTTTTTTTTTTTTTTTGCATTTGTCGATCTTTATTTTTCTCTTTTGTGGTCGAAATGTATTTGTAGTGATAGATTGTTGTTAGTTGCATATCATTGTTATTGCATATGTCATTTTGAGACTTCAAAAGATATAAATATTGATTATAGAAATGAAATTATATTTTCCATTGTTTATATATATTTTTAAATGCAATTAGTCAGATCTGATTGTTAATTGAAATGATATAGAGACGTGCAAATTTTTATTTAGATCTTGGGGCATGACATGAAGGACTGTAATCACACGATAATATATAGAGGATCGAAGTCAAGCGATAATAGTTAGGAGCCATAATTGGACATCGGTGGTTTAGATATTATAGTTGGGTGATAGTGGTTAAATGATCATAGTGGGGCAACAATGATTAAAGAATCAAAGTTGAGTCATGGTAGTTGGAGAATCATAATAAGGTGATGGTGGTCGGATGACTATAGTTAGTGGTCAGAGGGCGAAGGTTCAACAACAATGGTCAGATGATAGTGATTTGATAGCGGCAATTGCACAACAGTGGTTAGATGGAGTTTTAAGATTCTTCAAGCTTCTAAGTTCTCTTAATCTAAAGCCCTCTAGTTCCACTTCATGTTAGGAGTGAAGCTAAATTCATAAGTATTTAGAGTTGCATGTTCTATAAATACAACTAAAATTTGGATAACTTCATCAAATGTCTTATCTTGATCCCATCAATTATAAATCATTCTTTCAGCATGTAAGTGATGTCATAAGCAAGTAATCATAAAATTGTTAATTCTTGTCGTTAAGATGCTTGGTTTGACTATAAAAAATACAATATTTGAATATCTTCTGATCATCCAATTAATATCTCATAATTTTCAAATACTCTTCAATTGTTTTTTCTAATCTCATTTGCACTCAAATCATATCACTTTTGACGTCAATGGTTTATCTCATATAGACGCTCAATTCAACTTTAAATTTGTTAAAACTGAAGTTTGAATGATCTTAAATTTAATTAAAAAAATCTATAACTTAAGGATTGCATCGAGATTTTTGTCGGATCAGATAAATTTTCTAATGACATCAAATTTTCAAATAATTTTAATAATTTTTTTTATTAAATATATATATTTTTAGTCATTGGAACTTGAATTTGGGTGTTTTTAATGTTATGAAGAAAATTCTGAATGACAATCAACCTAAGAAGCAACTTTAGATCTATAGATTCCATGCATTCATTGCAGTTTTTATGTAAGCAAGTTCTTATGTGAAGAACAAGCAATGGGATGGAAAGCTTCAAGATGAATAGAATTAACGCAAATAGCAATGCGCGTTCATCATCTCCAGCTCCTAAAAATCTGAACTTTTAGCTATAAAGGTCTTCATGATATGATCTGATGGAGAAAATTACTCATTTAGGCTAAATGAATCAAAATAAATGCTAACCTAACAGAAAGCCATAAATTATAAAGGGATTTACAAACGTATGATACAATAATCTTATTTGTTTGTATATCTAATACTTATATTTTTGTATTTACAAGAATAACATCCATATTATTAAAGGTCTATTTGGAGAAAAATTATTACGTGCGGTGTCTAGACACGTCTCAAGGCCAATTTGGATGCGCCACGTCACCCAATGCACAACGCGGGGCATCTGAATTGACCTCCGGATGCATTCAGACACCGCACATAATAATCTCTCCTTTTTGGGACTAATTTTTTGCTACTTCGCTTTCTCATTATTTTTCAAAAATTAATGTAGCTTTACAGCCGTAATGGCTAAGTTGTTTCCCCGCAACAACTTTACGAATAATTTTATAGAACGCTACAACCATTCAAAAATAGACCCTAAATCACATAAAAAGTTAATATTTAGTATATGTATTTTTATGTAATTTAAATAATAAATTATATATAAATAAATATAAAAAATCTATATATTAGATACATAAATGCATTTTACTAAATAATAATAAAAGGGATGTGAAATGTCTGAGGATATGTGATTCAAAGTCACAACAAAAAGCGACGGTTGAGAGGCAATAGAAGATAGAGCATTGATGGCTTGAAGGAAGATCACATAGTGGGTTGGAAAAGTGGACAATAAATCTTTGTATAAATCCAATGAATCAAGAACCAATAAATATAGTATGTGATAGATATAAGTAATGCTTTCATGTTTTCTACTTTGGGAAGAATTGGATTTGAATTATTGTATGAAGAAGGAAATTTTTTATTGCTTATGGTATGATTATATATATATTGATATATCATGCAAAAATTATCTTGATCGGGCACGAATCTCGAGGCAAAATCAAACGGGAAGCTTCAAAAACTATATTCGGGATCACTTGAACTCCGATTTTAGCAAACTTATAATCAAACTGAGCGCCTCGGAAATACGGACCCAACGACATCAAATTTGACTCAATCTAAGCCCAAATGAGTCCAAATCAAGGACCTGAAGCGCTGTTAGAAAGTTCGTATCATAATTTAAGTTACCAAAAGGTTTTCTAACATAACGTGCTTATAATTGAATCGAGTGGATCGACGAGACGAATCCAACGAGCCCAAGATTGTCGAATTTCGACAACATTAAGACCTTTAAATATTTGATAAACGATCCACAATCAAATGATTCAATATCGGTCGTCCATCCAAATCACTCCATATTTGCCCCTGATCTCTCATCTATTTATGGGTCATGCCACTCGACAATATCTAAAAAAATAGACGTCGAAATTCCGCCCAACTTCCAAGTGACATCATAATTTCGCCCGACTTACAACTATGCCAGAATTCCGCCCGATCTCCAAGTGACTCTGGAGTTTTGCCCGAATACCATCTAACGCCGGAGTTCTCCCCGGCCGCCGACTGACGTCGGACTTCCACCCTACGCCGGACTTCTGTCCATCGTTAGATTTTCGCCGAACATTTATCCGATGCTGGATTTCTATCTATTGCTGGACTTCTACCTGACTACAGTTATTCCGACCTCTGTCGCCCGCCGACTACGGTTTTGCCAACTTACGTCGTCCGCCGACTACAGTCTTTCAGACCAAACAAACACGTCAATAGTGATTCTTTGTATTCCTACAATGTAATGTACTTCAAGCTAAAGCCTTCCCCCAATGAATGACCTCATTTGTAATCAACTGCTATACTAGTGGATTCATTCAAACTAGGCTAGGCTTTGTGGTTTTTCCCCCTTAATTTTGGTGTCCCTATAATTGAAGCACCCTATCTATTTATCTGTTTGCGCATCGGATTTTCGTACAACGCTAAGATGTTAAACCTTATATTTCTCTACCGCCGCGAATACTCCAGGATGCAACATATATATATTAACATTGAGCTATTTTTAAGTTTCTTTTAATTTATTTAAAAAATAAAATTTATTTATTTGGTTGTGTGACTTGTGTGATGCTCTTGCTTGGTTGAAAAAAATATAAAAATTAATTATAAACATCATAATTTTAATTTTTCACTCTCAAAGATAATAAAAAAATTATGATGTTTATAATCAATATTGATTATAAACTTTTTTGTAAAAGAAATTAAATTATTAAATTTTTAAATAAACTAATAGTTTTTTATTTTAAAATATATTTTTTATTTATTAATTTTTAAAATTTGTTATTAAATATTAATTTTTCTTTTTTTATTTACACTGTTTCAAATTATTTAAGAATTAACTTTCATCTTAGGAAATTTTTTTTTGTTAACATTAACTAAAAATAAAGCAAATTATTAATATCGTAAGAGAAATTTAATTTTTTAAAAAACTATTTTGAAAACCGTGGAATGGAGTAAAGTGTAAATAAAATAAAAATATTTTATTAAGAAACCGGCCGTGGAATGGAATACCGGTTTATATTTGCTCATTTTTAATTTTTTTCACTAACACGTTCATTAAACTAATTTAAACTTAAAACCTACTCTTTTTTTATAAATTGACTGTATCCAAAATATCCGGTTTATATTTGAGCTGCATTAAAAATCATTATAACTAAATTTGGATGTATATTTAGGTTTCATTTGAGATGATTTTTTTTATGTTTATTAAAAAAAAAATTTAATACAATAATTTTTAATTTTTATATTAAAAATTATTTTAAAAACAATAAAAAATCGTACAAAGGAAAACCTTAAAGTCCAAATATTCTCGTTCATAATTACTAATTAACACCGAAAAAGAAATTTTGAATAACATGCCGCGTCGTGAAATGAAATGCTGATGAAATCCACACGGAATGAAGTTCAAATTCTCCTTAAATTCACGCGGATTTCCACAGCGCGCGAGGAAAGGCGAAGGCTCCGTCGTGAGCACACGCAGCAGGAGCACAGAAGACTTCCAGAAGAAGCTCGTGACACGAAAGAGAGCAGAAGGAGAGGATGAAGAGAGGGAAGGACTAGTCAGAGCTCGCTTCGGCCGCTCCGCCCACTCTCGAAACAAAGTTGCCGCCTTTAGCCCATCGTACACTCAACATTTGGCTCAATATCCCCACACAGCAGCCGCTGCCGGCATTCCCTTTCACCATTTGTAGGAACTTGTTCTGTATATCTTGTCTTTCTCCACCAAAATCCCTTTTCAATTCTCCTCTGTAATGGAGGAAGCCGAGTCTTCTTGCCAAAGTGCGATGCAGACATTGAAACCTTCCACGACCTCAACCTCCTCTTCTCCACCTCTCAATTTACCCAATCGATTAGATATTCCTTGTTTTCAGTCGCCAGCCGGAGGCCGCGTATTTTACCGCCAGTGCCCACCCACTCTCAATTCTGACGTCGCCAAGCGCCCCGGCATTCCTCCAGTTCACCCCCTCTTGCCTCCAACCTCCCCTTACTCTCAGATGCCGCCAAATTTCAACCCTTCGCCTTCCCATTCCAACTCCATCTGTCAGCCTTCCTTCTTATCTCCAGAATTTCTGCCGTCTCTTACTTCTTTTCCTTTCCCCGATCCTGCGTCATCGGCTGTCCCGGGGCTTTCACTCTCCGACCCGGCGACGTCCGGCGATGTGAACATGGGTGACAGTTCCGCTCCTCAAACCCCGGTCCAGCTCCATCGGACTATCGCTGACGGAATCCCGCAGCGCAAAGCGCATCGGCGATCCCTGAGCGACATCCCTTTCGCATTCTTCCAGTCATCTTCTCCGATTTCCGGGCTTCCGCCGCTGCCGCAACATTTGCCGGTGGCTAGAGAGAGCTTTACGCTTGGATCTGTGAAGCATCGGTCTCAATTCGTGAAACAAGAGTCCGAATGCGATCGAGAGGGTGATAATGACCCAAAATCCGAAGGACATGCAGGAGATGATCTTATTAGCGCTTATATGAATCTGGATAGTCTGGATACTCTCAATTCTTCAGGTACTGACGATAGGAATGACATGGATAGCAGGGCTAGTGGCTCCAAGACTACTGGCGCGGAAAGCAGTGAGAATGAAGCTGAGAGTGAGAGTAGTATGAATGAGGGTTTGAGTAGAATGGGGAAGAGGAAGGATAGGAACAAGCGAAGTGCAGTTGGTGATCCAGCTATGAACCATATGGCTCCTAGGCATTCTAGGAGTGTTTCCATGGATAGCTTTATGGGCAACTTGAATTTTGGTGACCAGCTTCCAAAGCCGCCACCTTCTCCTGGCTCCAGGTCTGCTCAGCATTCCCGTAATGGATCAGTGGATGGGATTACAGGCACATTCAGCTTGGAATTCGGAAATGGTGAATTTACTGGCGCTGAGCTTAAGAAAATCATGGCTAACGAAAAGCTTTCTGAAATAGCAATGAGTGATCCTAAAAGAGCTAAGAGGTGCTTAGTTTCTCTCGTTTGATCCTTCTACGAAGGCTGTGGTGCCTACAAAATCCTTTTTTTATTTCTTTTTTTGATTTGGCAGGATATTAGCCAATCGCCAATCTGCTGCTCGTTCCAAGGAACGGAAGATGCGCTATATCACAGAGTTGGAGCACAAGGTGCAAACTCTACAGACAGAAGCAACCACATTGTCGGCACAGCTGACTGTGTTACAGGTGCTTTACATGCGCTCTTTGTTTGTCAAGGATTTTCCAAAAAAAAACAAAGAACTTGTCATTTTACCTGGGAGATTGGCTTATTTCTTTTGTCTGATTATGTTAGAGGGACTCAGCTGGACTCACTTCTCAGAATAGTCATTTGAAGTTTAGGTTGCAAGCCATGGAGCAACAAGCACAACTGAGAGATGGTACTTTTATTGCCTTGACTAATCAATTTTTTCCTACAAGCTATCTTTAGACCCTTTTTTTCTTTGAAATAAAGATTGTTAGTGGAGCCTTTTTCGCCTGAGCCTAGTAGAATGCAGTGGAGTCTATAGATTGGCTTCCCAGCAATTTCCAAGTAAAACTACATGTAATGGTATATGCTATAAATTTCACTCATTTTAATTGGGAGGAATATTTTTAGAGAGTATAATATGATAATCATCATAATAAAATAGAGAAATATAATAGGCAAAAATAGATTTTCAAACTTTGGATCATTCTAAATGCCAATACAACAAAATCTTGCGAGATAGACTGTAAAATAAGTATGTACAAGGCCCAAAAGTTATTTTTCAAGTTTAAGAAAGCAAAATAAAAAATTTAAGTTGATAGCTTCCATGATATAAGGTTAATTTAATGCTACTACTATCTACTTCATTTTCATTAGTCATACTCTCTTCCCCATCATTAGATTTGTATCCCTCTATTTCATAATTTTATCATAGAAACAAACACTCGGACACCTTGCACCCATATGGTGCCTTGGTGATGGTGCTTGCCTGGGAGGTGTTTGAGCCTTGCCTCTCCCAACTACTCATTCGAGAGTCCAACTAGCTTTTCACAACACTGCTATGAAGTCATCAGTCATGTGATAAAAATCATCTAAAACTATCAAGTTATCTTTAATAATTATTTTATTTTTGTTGTTCTCAAGTATTTCATATTTATTCCAAGATTCTAGATTTTTGTAATTAGGCTTGCTAGCTTGATTGGTATGATTAAAATTTTGAATTTCCAATATTTGTGTTGTGTCAAAACATTTGCGACTATAGAGAGAGAAAAGTTTAATGGCCTAGCTTTGTATGAAGATCCAACACACACATAGATAAGAGAGGAGTGCAAGAATTATAAGAGACATCAAAGTTGTTATGTGGAAAGCTTTGGAAAGGGAAAAATCATGTGGTTTGACCTAGTTAAAATTGTTTCGCTGTATTTGTCATTAATTATAAATGATGTAAGGAAGACATTGATATAATGTAAAGAACATATTACATGATTAATGTTGGAAGAACCCTAGGCCTGGGCCTGGTAGCTCTCTAACAAATCATTTGCTTATTTGTTTTATTGTACTCTTTTGAGAATAGAAGACTAGTGATTAAGAAATCCAACATAAATCATCATGTTGACTTTGGGAGACTAAGTTGATGTCGGTGACGGACATCAATCTTATAAGTGATGACGTGCATTGGCATAATTAGTGATGATAGTTGATGAAGTTAGAAGGCATCGATGTAGCTGAGTGACAACGGTCAGAAGGTTGTAAGACAAAAAATCATAGTTGAGCAACGGAGGTTGAATAGTCATAATTAGGTGATGGAGGTTGAATGTCCATAGTTGTGCGACAACCATAGCTGATGATGGTGGTTGAAGTATCATAATCAGACGACAATGGCTGGAGGGTCGTAACTGGGCGAGTTGGTGACAATGATTGGAGGGTCATAGTTGGGTGATGGTGACCGAAGGATCGTAGTCGGACGATATTGGTTGGAGAACATTGATGTGGCGATGGAAGTCGGAGGTGGTTTGAAAATGATGTCAGATGGTGTTTCAATAGCGGCGATTTGACGATGGCCAATGATGATGATCAAGCTGTGGTCCTACGGTGGTGGTCGGGTAGTGATCCGACAATAACGGTTGGTTGGTAGTCTGACGACGGCAGTCATATGGTGGCTTGACAACTACTATCAATCAGTGGGCAAGTAGCGATGATGAGTGTTCCCCCGAGTTTTTATAGAACCTTTGAGTTCTCTTGATTCTGAAGCCCAAGTACAAAATTCTACTCCCTTCTTGTGTAGAGAGTGGGTGCATATTTATAGATTTTTTAGAGTGGTGTGACTTGCAAATATAGTCTAAATTCAAATCACTCCATTAGACGATTCGTATTGATTCCCTCAATCATAGACTGTTCCATTAGCATTTAACTACCTTAATGATGTCGAAAATAAGTGTTCTTTGGCTTGTTGAATTCGTTTTGTCTAGACGCTCAATTTGATTATAAGCATGCTAAATTTAGAGATCATTGGTCTTCTAATTTAAATATATTGAAGTTTCCAATTACACTTCAAGTGCTTGATCTATTCTCATTTGGACTTAGTTTGGACCACTTTTGATGTCGTCGTGTTTGTCTCGTGAGATATTCAGCTCAACTATACATTTGCTGAGATTGGAGTTCGGATGATCCTGCATTCAATTTTGAAAGTTTTCAATTCCAATTTGCATCAAGATTTGTACCAGATTGAGATGGTTTTTGATGAAGTTTCAATCTGAATCTGATTCCTTTCATAGAACTATAGGCCTATTGCATCTTTCCTTTGAAAAGTTATTTAAGAGATGGAATAATTGTTGGTGAGAGGTTAAGGGAATGGCTAGATTTTACTGGTTTTATGCTATTACTTTCTACAATTTTCAATTACAACTCCAATTACAGCTCAACTTATGGGAATGGCTAGATTTACTGGTTTTATGATAGATCTACCGAAGGAGAAACCAAGTTTAAACGATTAACATCAAATAGTAATAAACAAATGGAGAACACATAACAAGACAACAAAGTAAAGAGCTGCGGCTACCAAATTCCTACAAAGCAATCACATAAAATGTTTGTAAGACCTCAAAAGGAAAATTAAGCAAAGGTATTGGTTTATATTTTTATTGGGGATTAAACACACTTTAGGAAAGTATGTGATATTATTTTTGTCTATGTTCAAATTGCTATGCTTTGAGATGAAAACACAATGTCCTCTTCATCAGCTTCAGCTGTTTACTGTTAAAGCTCTCTTTTTTTCCCCTTCTATATGTTAAATGTACACAAAACTTCACTTGCAGCTAATCAGGCTATTTATATTTGATTTCACTCTCCAGATTTACTAAACAATGGTTACTGAGCCTTAACCTGAAGTCTTTGATAGGACTTTAAAACTCTACATATTGGGAGGGAAACGAAGAAACTAGAACCACAGAGGAGACTCTTTCATTTCATTCGTTCATGCCCTATTACTCTCTAATAGAGAGTATTTATCCGAATACATGGACTCCCTAGGATTCATTAACCACCTATTAACCACCTAATAGTTACCCAACTTACCTATAAACTACCATGACTCGAAACGACCTGTTAATCTAATCCTAGACTACCTATTAACACTTTAAATTCTCTACCTTTTTTTTCCCTCTTTCTTAATTTACTTCTTAAACTGCCAAAAACATATCACAATTAACTAAGACTTAGTTTGTGACGGCTTTTTTTCTGCTTCTTAAAACAGCTTTCTAGTACAAAAATTAAAAAATTTGTACTGTAAAGCTGCTTTAAGAAGCAGTTAGAAAGCTGTCCCAAATGAAGCCTAAATATTGTTCAGATTTTTATTAACCATATCTTATCTTTTTCTTAACTATCATTTAGGCGGTTCAATGAGACCGGCCCAGCCGGCCCAAGGAGGGCCGATTCTAGTCTACAGGACCCCACCCCACCCCACCCCACCAATTAATGCTGCCCAAGCCTAGTGGACCCCACTAGGAAGCAAATTAAGGGGGGAGAGAGAGAGAGAGAGAGAGAGAGAGAGGTGGCTAGGGGTTGGAGGGAATTTTGAATTAGTGAATTAATGTATTAATAGTATGAGTTGTTTAGGGTTAAGGTTAGGCATGCCTTGAGTTGTTCTCTTGGAGTTTTCTTTGGCGTCTTGGGCTCTAGATTCATCGTCTTGAGATTGGCTGAGAACGATCCTCCTCTCGTATTGAGGATCAATTGTATCTTGCTTTGTGTTTGCTTTTGCTTTGATTCCGTTATTACAATCTATCGTTTTGGATTGATTTCATCAAGATTTTCACATTATTTCCGCTGTTTTTACCAATTATTACTAGAGTTGCTTGCAAACTTTAAGTATTTCCTATCACTATCTTCTTCCTGCGAAAATTTATCTGACTGACTCCATACTTATTTCTGTGTATGTCTAGCCTTGAATGAAGCACTTTCTGCGGAGGTTCAGCGTCTGAAACTTGCTAATGGGGAGCCCATCTCTGCCAGCTTAAGCCAGCAAATCCAGCTGAATCCTCAAATGTTCCAACTGCAGCAGCAAAATGCTGATGTTGCCGACCAGGAAATGAAGCTGTGAGCTTGAAGGCCTTCTAACACCAAATATTTTCCTAATTGCGAGGAAATCATAAGGTTCCATATATATTCTTTTATGAAAGCTCCTATATTAGAACTATAATTTATCTTACTATACTATACATATGAATAAAAGAGCAGCTTAATGCTATGCAAAAGACTTTGATTTAAATTTCTCCATGAGACAATTTTTTTATTTAATTTTCAGAAGTCTTAATAGAAATAAAAATGTATCTTTGGTAGGTGACTGTGTATCAGATCACTGCGACAAATGCAGCGACAAAGAATTACAATCATTAAAATAATTTGTCTCGATCTTATTTGGTACAGGTTTTTATCAAATTTTTACTGTTTTATATTTTTTTTTTAATAAAAAGCTTGCTATAGAAAGCAGGAAGAAAATTATCTTAAATGAAGGCTTCATTTGTGACGGCTTTATTAATTTCTAAAGCAGCTTTTTATTACAAAATTTCTTAAACATGTAATTTTTATGCTAGAAATCTACTCCAAACAAATGAGAGAGAGAGAGACTTGTGATGGGATGAAAAATGAACTCTCAAAGAAGAGAATCTGTATGTGTAAAAAGATAATATTTGCTCTACTAGATTAGGGTTTCATGTAGTTTTTTTTTTATTTTTATTTTTTTTTTGGAATTGGGGCATCTATTCATTGCCACACCTCTTAGGAGGCACTTGGTGGCATAAGGGCATCTCCAAACAATTGTTTGCCATTCTTTCTTCGCCCCAACCAAGCGGCAATTTTGACGCTATTTCATCATGGGTGAATAGTGTGACGTCAATATCTGTTTATCCGCTAAATTTTTATGTGTCAACGGAAATTGCCCGCGAAATGAAAAAAGATGGTTACGAGACGACGAAGCTGGTGAAATGGAGTTCGATTGGAGCATAATTACCGCATTTTTTAGTTTTGTTGTATTTTGCAGTGGAAAATAGGGTTTTCGGTTGGAGATATGCTAACTACTCCCTCGGCGAGCCTACTAGCAACCAACATCACAGGTGTAGGACCCGTATTTATTTTCTCTTCACTTAAGGGGTCGCATCGCGTGAAAGCGAATTCAAACATGGGTTTGGGGTTCTGAACCATGCTCTACTAGATTAGGGTTTCATATGGTTTATGCGCCTGTGCAACCAACATCACAGGTGTAGGACTCGTATTTATTTTCTCTTCACTTAAGGGGTCGCACCGCATGAAAGCGAATTCAAACATGGGTTTGGGGTTCTCAACCATGCTCTACTAGATTAGGGTTTCATGTAGTTTATGCGCCTGTATTCTAGCTTCCCGGTGGCTCCTCATTCCTTTTTTCAAGTTCTCTGTCTGTCTTCGTTAAGATTTAGGGTTTCCTCTCCACAAAGTTCTGTTATTAGCCTCTTTTGAGCTTCAAAACAACTGAATCTTAATGTTTGACCAAACACAAGCAAATCCCTTATCCATTGGCTCTCCAAACTTTTGATTTTCATCATCTTTCAAAGGCTCATTTTAGATTTGACTTATGTTAAGAAAGGTAGGGGTAGACCTAAAAAGACTTGGTTAGAAAATATTAGGAATGACCTTTCTTTATTAGGTTTAAATGAGATTTTGACTTTTAATAGAACACAATGGAGAAAAAGGATTCATGTAGCCGACCCCACGTAGTGGGATAAAGGCTTGATGTTGTTGTTGTTGTTGTTGTTAATCACGTATTTCCTTCTAATAATATCTAATAACTCAATTTTGTTCAAATAAATTATATATATAGTCAATTTCTCCTCAACCTAAACAAATAAGTGAGTAAAAACTAATTTCAATTCAATTTTTCTTTTTATTTTCCTTTTCTTCTCTCAATCCCCTCAAACCAAATTGAGAAGAGGCTTTTAAAAAATAAAAAAATATATTTAAATGATAACAATCCATCTTAGGCTTTATTTGTTATAGATTTTTTATTGCTTTCATGATAGGAAATGTAGTTAGTAAAAATAATGTCTGTTTGTATTCAGAAGATATATTTTTTAATAATTTTTTTAAAATTTTGTCTTTTAAAAGTTATTTTGAAAAAAAAAAACAATTTTAAAATTATAACTGAGAAAGGAGCTTTAAAAAGTAAAAAACAGAAAATTTTAAGCTGCCCCAAACTAATCCTTAAGGCTATATGAAAGCAATAATAGAATCATGATGAGCACTACATAAAAATAAATAAAATAATAATAATAAAGAATCATGAGCACTACATAAAATTAATTCATATATTCATAAAATCATAGAAAAGGCACATGCATAAAATAAGAAAGTTGTAATAATATTTTCACATAAACTTAAAAAAAAAAGATTTAAGCATGAGAAAAATTCTCTCCAAAGCTAATGTGAAATTATTTCCTCTTGCATCTATTTTATGAGGTTCAATTCCATCATATTGTTAACTGAAATCATGTTCTTTCTCCAACATTAAGCACTTATGATCTTCTAATCAAATTTATAAAAAAAAAGTTCTTGAAAGAAGCTCATCATTTAGGCTTCGTTTGTGACGGCTTTCTTTCTACTTCTTAAAGTAGTTTTTTAGTACAAAAGTTAAAATTTTTATACTCGAAAACTACTTTAAGAAGTCGTAAAAAAATCCGTCCCAAACGAATCCTTCGCTACAACACCTCTTGTCAAATCTCATCCATTGCCTCCTTTCTTTCAAGCTATTGATCAATGCTAAATGAGCTAGCTCATATAGATAAAGGAAAAGAAAGTCTCATCGTTATCATGAAAGACATCAATTCTTCAGCTGAAATGCTCACATCTTACTGTTAGTTGCAGACTGTAAAACTTACAAAAAATGAAAAAAGAAAAGACTTTACTGACTCTTTCATCATATCTTTTTTTCTGCAACCAAACCATCTTCCTAACTTCCTATAATTTCATGATGAATAAAGATGCAATGGATTACAAAGGACAAAGAGCAGCAGGAAAAAACAGGTGAGGGGCGGTGGACCGAATCTCCCTACCACGTTGGTTTAAGCTGCTTATGGCTTCAGTACTGTACAATTAAATGGCTTTTTTGAGGAATGGATCTCCAGTTTCTATTACTACTCAAGAGTCTCAAAGACTTCTGCTGCTGAAGATGGTACTCTTAGAGCTTTTTAACTTAATTATATTAGGTTCTGTTACCTTGTCATGGCGTGGGGATCAGCTTTAATGGTATTTTTAACCTTTTAATATTGGGACATTTAGGTCACTTAACGCAAACTCACACACACTTCCATACGTAAGACTCGAATTCAAAAACTTTTACTTGGTAGCCAAAGCTGTCAACAACCAGACCAATGCGAGTTACGTATTTGTAACCTTTTAATATTTCTCGAAATGTTCTGCTTCCCGTTGCAGGTTTTGGTCTTGAGGATGGGTCAAGGGTGTAGGTTAAGTGAGCTTGTGAATCGGTTTGGGCTTGGCATAATAAATGGCTCGTGAACCTGCCTCGATGAGCTGATAAGACAAACTTCAGCAAACCCTAACTCGACTTATTAGCTAAAGCTAACTCTTTTAAAAAATATATATTATTATACAATACATTTAAAATATATTAGCATTCAAGAGTTTATATTTCTCGAAATGTTCTGCTTCCCGTTGCAGGTTTTGGTCTTGAGGATGGGTCAAGGGTGTAGGTTAAGTGAGCTTGTGAATCGGTTTGGGCTTGGCATAATAAATGGCTCGTGAGCCTGCCTCGATGAGCTGATAAGACAAACTTCAGCAAACCCTAACTCGACTTATTAGCTAAAGCTAACTCATTTAAAAATTATATATTATTATACAATACATTTAAAATATATTAGCATTCAAGAGTTTTACGTACAAATTTATTACAAATATTTACAACAACAACAAATCAAATTTTTATCCTACTATGTGGGGTCGGTTATATGAATATTTTTTCTCCATTAATTGTATCATATTAAGAGTCAAATTCTCATTTATATTTAATAAAAAATAATTCATTTTTAATTATTTATAGCCAAGTCTTTTGGTCTATCTCTACATATATATATTCGAAATTTATAAATCACTTTTTTTATAACAAGTGAAATCTTCTTATTTTTCTTCTAATTTCTAATTTTTAATACTTTTACTATAATAATTGTTTGAAATAGATTTTTTTAATCTCTTTCATAATAGATAAGCCAGATTAAGCTCAAGCTTGAACTAAATTAATTAATCAATTTCAAGCTTAAGCCAGGAGTGACTTAAGCTTAGCACGACTCGTTCACACTCCTAAAAAGTATAGATTAAGTGCCGAATTATTTAAGCTGATTTACGTTTTTCTAAAATTGATTTAAAATTTTTTCTTTTATAATTTTAATTATGCTTTCTCAAAAACAATTTTGCATAACAAAATTTTCAAGCAGTTGTAAGAAATTATAGTTTATACTATGTTTTCTTATGAGATGTTTTTACTATCACAAAAAGATCAAAAAGAGTCATTAATCCCATGAGCTCAAGAGTGCTCTAGATTTCCATGATCATACCAAGGAATTTGGACTAATAATTGTAATTAAATTTGAAAATGAGAGTGATTTACAAATTAAACCTAAACTATCTAAATATTGTTAAAGCATTTATTTTCAAAGCCAAAATATTTTCAAAATATCATATAAGGTCTTGTAACCAATTAACTAAATCAAGTTTTTGAAGACTAAACATTTTCCTATTTTATAAATAATATAATAATTATTGATAAAAAAAATAAATAATTTAAATCATGTGATAATATACTTTTCCATTATTTCATATAGCATTACTAAGGCTTCGTTTGGAACAGCTTTCCTACTAGAAGTAAATTTTTATTAAAAAAATTTTTAAACTAATATGATAATCATCATAATTGCGTATGCTTAGATTGGTATCGCCACGAACGAAGGAGCAATAGCAACAACAATAACAACAGGAGCAGCAACAACAAACATTTATCCCACTACGTAGAGCCACTAGCGAAGGAGTATTCATACAAGCTGTGATGACAAATCCAACATCACAAGAAGAAAAAAATGCTTTAAGACCCCAAACAAGCAAGAAATACTGCAAACCAGTTAATTATTCTGTACATCAAACTGTAAGTTTTGGTACCCATAATGGAAGCAGCGCCAATACAAGCATTTAATTCAGCAAATGTTCTAAAGAAACAAGAACCCTAAACCCTAAACAAAAAGCTCAAAGAAGGGAAGAAAAGTTGCTGGGTTTCTTAGTGGTTTGAAGATGAGCAAGAAGGGCTTTGTTCTCTTGACTGAGAAATAATGCTCTCTCCCTCAGCCGCT